GGGGGGAGGGGTGGGGGAGTGGCCGTTTTTGTAGCCTATTGTTTTAGAAAGGTGATTATTGCAGAAGATTCGAAAATATTCTTTTCATATCTTATACCGTTTTCCCACTACAAACCGACCTTGAGGGCTCTCGTGGCCTAAAGGTAAAGGTGTTTGCCTCTTATTCAAAGGTCCAGGGTTCGAATCCGGGTAGAGATCGAAAATATTTCTTCTCTGAAATTGTCTCCTTTCACCTCCTTTCCTGCTCTCTAGCAAGATTCTGTCGTCTGCTTTCGTCTCCACTTTCTGCCTATGCCCCCTCCCCCCTCTCTGGGCTCCTGACTCTTTCTGCAGCCCTTCCACTGCTTTTCCTTGGCTTCTTACTTCTGCCTTTCAGCCACACCCTTGATCTTCTGATAGGAACGATCTATACCTAGCGTTCTCGGACAAGGGCGGAAAAATCTCGGAGGTCCCGAGTGGAAGTTGCGCACGTTAAAGATCCCTTGGTGGTCCAAATCGATAAGAGTAGGTTTCCTCCGCCTCCTGGGCAAAATTCAAAATTTGCTACTAACTGAAAATGTTAGGTGTGTCCTGCGCGCTCATATGACCTTATGCAGTTGCAAGCGCCGTAAAACACTTACCAAAACAAAGACAAAAAAAACAACAACAACAAAACTGACCTTGAAAACCTATTTATTTTCTAGTGTGGCTAACCTGGGCATCCTTGAAAGTGACAAGCTCCTCATCCGGGCCGCCAGCACAGGCGCCATGACCTGGGAGCCCCCTGGGATCTTCGAGACCCACTGTGACGTAGACATCACCTTCTACCCGTTCGACACCCAGATCTGTATCGTGGAGGTGACCAGCTGGGCCTATACCGTCACCGAGGTGGATCTACAGGCGCAAGACACTGAGGTGTGTGTGTGTGGTGGGAGAGAGTCTAGGCTAGCCTGGGCGGGAGGCGTGATGGAGGTCACGTGATAAAGGTCAAATGACGTAGGTGAAATATTCTAGGTCATATCATATAGGTCATTTGATGTAGTCACTTTACGTAGGTCACTTTGCCTAGGTCATATGGTATACGTGACACGACAAAAGTCAAATGATAATTATAGTTCGTCTGAAATAGGACACGTGATATAGGTCACACACGATGTAGGTCAGATGATATAGGTCGCATGATATAAATGACAAATCGAAACCTGATTACTTCTCTTTAAAATTAAATTTGATTACTTTTCTTTTAATCTGTTTACGTCTTAAAACACCAGCTTCATGGTTTAAGAAATTTCCGGAAATATTGTTTTGAAATGCCATCCAGGAGATACTTACACGTTCTCAAGAAATATTTCAATAAAATTCAAATTCTGAATGAGGAGAAAAGCAAATTTAAGGGAAGAAACAGCTTTTTTCCTCTCTAGTGAAAAATAAATATTGTTTTATGGTCTTAAAATCATTCGACAGCTTACCGACGTTAAGATAATACATGTGGGTGATTGGCGGGTGCTCTGGTGTGGTTTGCTTCTTCTTTCCTATAAAACAGCTATCGTTCTTTCTTCTTTTTTATGTTTGTTACTCTCTTGTAACACATATAATCTTCTGGCGCTC